TTGGAAACTGGAAAGGTAAATTGTTTTCTAATAATATTAGCCAGAAAGACACTGTTCTTCTGTAGCAAACCCCTGAGACCAGAGCAGTTACTTTATGACTACTAAAGGCTGGTACTTGAGACTAATGGGAAATTTGGCAGCAAATGCATTCAAGCTCCTACCATTTCCTAAAGATCTGGAATCTTTCTCTTGCGTTTTCACAGATCAGCAGAATCTCAATCTCTTGCTATCTCTTCTTTCACTTTGGAATCCTAGATATAGCTAAGATCGAAAGATTTAAGATCGAGTAACTCCCACACACATTTACAGATTCAACCTCGCCCCACTACATATTACAGATTTAGGGGTCTATCTGGCATTGGGAAGTTGTTCTTTGAATACGTCTCATTTTCAGCCACTCTGTAGTCCATCGAATTTGTGACTGTTCATTTAGCTTAAATTTTAATTTTACCTTTGGTACATATCTGATAATACAATGCCTCAATCAGTCAATCTGAATTTCTCTGTCCTTTCAAAGACTGACATCTACCCTGTAATATCATGAACCACAAGAAGATAACCACAAACAGACAACTGGGTACAAAAGATGTTCATCACAGCATTTTCATAATACAAGAAAAAAACACTAAAAATAATCTTAATACCTAATGATCAGGGAATGGGTACATAAATAATAATCTATCTAATCAATAGAAAAATTATGTAGACTGTAATAATATTTGCAAATAATGTTAATTCATCATATAACATCGAGCAGAAAAAGCAAGAAACAGACTTGTATAATAAACCCATTTTAGTAAAGAAAAATATACACATGTAGAAGGAGAGTTGGAAGGAAACAGCCTCTTACATATGTGGTGGTAACTTACAGGTGATACCTCTTCTTATTTATGCTTTTCTTCATTTTCCAGCTTTTCTAGAATATACACATATTACTTTTATATCCAGAAATAAAACTTTTTTTAAAAGGTCAAAACATAAGTTGGTCCATTGGGATCCAGAAAGTTACAGAAAGGCTTAATGTAGACTGGCTGTTAGGAATTCACTTTCTCTGCTTCATTTTAAAGAGGGAAAGTACTGCCACACTATTAAGCAATCAGCCAGTAGGGTTCATCCAAGAGCAATAAACTGACATCTCAAGAGAAAATTAGTGAAACTCAGGAAATTAGAACTGGAAACCCTGACTAAGTGATCTAATACATCCCTCAAGAATCAGTACATATACAATACACTTCCTGGTGTGGGCACTTTCTTTTCCATTGAATTGCAAATGTTTCAAGAGATCCCAGTTTCACTGCTACATTTTAGACCAGTCAACAAGCTATTAATCCATCTTCCCTGAGCAGAGTATAAGGACTTAAGAAACTTTAGAGATGTCAATCTAACTCCTTCTGAAACGTGTTGGCAGAACAAGCATTTCTACCTGTATCTGTACATGGTTCAAGCTCCGGCACTTCCACTTAGCTGTGAGATCTCACGCAAGTCCTTTTATCTATCTGATCCCAGAGGAAACCTCTCCACCTACCTCACAAGGGTTGCTGTAGGGAGTAAGTGAGGTGATGCATGTGGAGAATAAATCCAGTGCATACAGCAGGTGCTCAGTAAATGTTTGATAACTCTGGCGTGACTGGTATTGGAGGATTGTTTTCCTGGCAAGATAGGCTCTGCTGAGTCAACTAAAAAAACCACTTGTCACTGGGTCAACTCCAATTGATGGCGACCCCATGTGTGTCAGAGCAGAACTGTGCTCCACAGGGTTTTCAGTGGCTGATTTTTTCAGAAGCAGACGGCTAGGCCTTTCTCTGGGTAGACTCGAATCTCCAACCTTTTGGTTAGCAGCAAGCATGTTAAATGTTTACACCAGCCAGGGACTCTGCATCTTTTGTAAATTTCTTGAATGACACAGGTGGGTTGGAATGGACAATAAGGTTTGTGGTCTTGAAACAGCAAAATTCCATTTGATACTCAAACCTTGGACTTAGTCACACCAACTAAATTAACCACCCTCAGACCCCACATATGCCTCAGAGAGCACCCACTCAGCCTTTTCAGTGTTGAAAACAGCCAGAATTAGAAAGATAGCTACAGAGATGGGAAAAAGTAATGTTTGAGATTGAATCAATAGGGTTTAATAAATAGTTCACATAGAAAGCTGAAGGAAAGAGAAGAATAATGCCCCCAAGTTCCACCTGGATAACTAAATCAACAGCTGATTTAGTCACTCAACAAATATTGAGCACCAACTAAGGGCCAGGCACTGTTCTAGGCACTGGGGATATAGAATGAACCAAGCAGAAAAAAAGAATTGCTGCCATTATGGGGCTTACCTTCTAGTGGGGCAATAAATAAGTAAACAAATGAATAAAGAAGAGGATTTCTGATTGGGATAACTGTAATGAAGGAAATAACCAGGGTAATGGGATAGAGAACAACAGTATGGAAAGCTACTTGGGATATGATTGTCACAGAAGGTCTCTCTCAGGAGGTAACATGTAAGGTGAGTGAGTCCTAAAAGATGAGAAGGCGCTAACAGGTGAGGAGTGGGGGGAAGAGGGTGCACCTCAAGAAGAAGGAGCAACAGGTGCAGAGACCCTGGAGTGGGAAAAGGTGGAGTGCTTGAAAATGGGGGGAAAAAAGGGCTGATGTGGCTGAAAGGTAGTGTGACAGAGAAGAGGACAGTTGGGAGATGAGGCTGCAGAAGTGGGCAGAGACCATTAACAGATGAGCCTTACGAAGCGGGTTCCTGGGGAAGACAATGAGAACACATTTGATTTGTTGAGGATGAGGCACCTGAGGGGAATATCCAGACTAAAATCCAGGACTATATCCTAAGAACTAAACATAGTGCTGGGATTTGAGAAATCGTTCAGCCACATCAAAATCACCTGGGAGTGTTCTGAAAAATATAGATTTCTCAGGCACCGAAAACACAGATTTTAGGGGTGCCACCCTGGGAAATTTTAATTCACTAGGTCCTGGTGGAGATCTAAAGATGAGTTTTTCAATACTCGCTGGTAATTCTGATCCATTCATTCAAAAAACTCTTCTTACATTCCTACCATGTGGCAGGACAAACTAAGTGCTGGAGATATGGCACTCAACAGGCTACAGAACTTAGCCTAGAGAAAGAATAGACAGAGAAGTAAACAAATAAATTACAACGGTGATACACACCACAGAGGAAAACAAAAGCTGGCAAAATACAGAGTTATTGTGGGAACCTACATTAGATAAACCTAAAGAGAAGACCTCTCTCTCAGAAAGTTACATTTGAGCTGACAGATGGGAATAAGAAGCAGTCAGCCATGTGACCATCTAAGGGAACAGCATTCCAGGCAAAGGAAACAGCCAGTACAAAGGCTTAGTTGGAAACTCAGCAGATGAATCCAACTTTTTGCTTTATTCCTAGTTGATTAACCAACCAAGATGGAGGAGAGGGCATTTTGTGTGCACTCTGCAAGCTATACTAAGCACCTATCTTGTGCCAGGCACTGTGCCAGGTGCTGACACAAAGATGAGCAAGACAGTCCTCTCTCAGCAGGGAGTTTGCAGTCAGATGAGGGAAGCAGGTAACCGAATAAATACGGCTCCATGAGGTAACTGAGAGCATCTCAGACAATCAGTTCATGTTCTGAGAAAACCAAACAGATGATTAATACTTTTGAGAATGATGATATAAGCAATTTTTTTTTTTTTAGACTGAACATGATAAACTATTTCCATTTCTATGTGGCCCTGCCAGCTCAGAGTATCTGGATTTGGGGTGAAATATTTGCAGCAATGGATATAGGGTTTGAGATACTGTATACTCAGCTATGTTTGAGGGAAATAGTTACATCCCGTTAATAGTGAACATTTATGGAGCACTTAGATTAGCCTGGCTGGACATGTCTCATGGAGTACTCACAACAATAGTCCCTATGATGTCCCAGGGATTGTTGTTATTATTGTTCCCTTTTTACAGATGAAGAAATAGGGGCTAGCAAGATGACGGTACTATCCTGAGGTCGCTCAACTAAGACATGACAACCCCCCAGCTCCATCTGAGTTTGGAACCTCAATTCTGGTCACTACTGCCTCCCACGAATTGCTTAGAAACTGACACGACTGCTATCCTTACCCCAGTTCTCAAAGCATATCCTTCTCTCTTCTCCCCATCCCTATTATCCACTTGGGTTGTCTACACCGACCAGATCTACCAGCACCTCGCCCCATGGCGGTGAGGAGGAGACAGAAATCCTTGTTTCCACTCTTGGGGAGAAGTAGGGGGCACCAGGGCGGTGCTCACTGTGCCCCAGGGTCTGGCTATACAGGACCCCAGCAAGAAGGGGCCCACCCATAGCTCTGCCTCCCTCTGTTCACCCACCTGCAGAGGAAGAGTGATTACAGGGGGGCTCAGTGTTCAAGGAGAAAAGGGGTTTGAGGCAGGGAATGTGAATTAAATGACTCAGGTTCCAGAAAATTAAGGTAAATTGTTGAAGTCAAGAGAAGTGGTACAGACGGTAGATAGGATGAGTCCAAATGTATTCAAATTCAAATTCAATGGTTTTTAAAAAACAAAAACAAAAAACGAGCTGGTCACCTTCAGCCTGCTGGCTGGCCAGTTTGTAACTTAAAGGGCCTTCCAATTCCCTTTTCCTGAAGCTGTCTTTTATTCCAGACTTCTCAGTGGGAGTCTAGTCGTGGGTTAGATGGTCTCTGGGTGTGTCTGTCAGGGAGTGCAGTGGCTTGGTCTGTCTTTTCCCCTTGGTTTGGCAGACTTACTGGCACCCTCTCTTCTCCGCCTCCCCTTATTCCCTCCCCCACTCCTCGTGAAGAGGCTCTTGGCCCGGTCCCCGAGCCCTGGCAAGTGCACGCGGACGATGCAGGAGGGGTGAGGTCACGTCTCCCCTGAGCCTCACGCCGGGGCTTTTCAGAGCCTTGCCACGAGCTCATGCCGAGAGCCCCAGACTGCGCGGACCGTGCGCTCCTCCGCCCACCCAGCGCCACCAGCCTCACCGATGTCTCAGTTCCCCCTCAGTTCGGACTTCAAGAACGCTCTGGACAGCAGTCCCGAGGCCAAAACCGAGAATGAAAAGACCGAAGAGGACCTGCCCAGGCACGAGAACTACCTGTGGCTCACCATCTTCTCGTGTTTTTGCCCTGCGTACCCCATCAACATCGTGGCTTTAGTCTTCTCCGTCATGGTGAGTGGGTTGGGGCAGCCGGGGAAGGAAGACACGGACGGTGCGCGCTCCGAGCTCTCCACAGCTCCCTAACTTTCTGTCCCAGGAGCCCGGGGTGCTCTTGTTCTCTGCGCCTCTTCTTTCCTTTCTCAGGCTCTTGGGAACCCTCCCCGGCAGTCATCACACCTTGTGGTGCTCAAAGCCGTGGGCAAGCCTCCCCCAGGCCGGCTTTCCACTTCTTTCCAGTGCCCATGGTGTGCTCTCTCCAACCCGCCGAAGTCCGTGGACTTAGCTGCTTCTCTCCCTGCTTCCTCCAGTGTTCCCAAACACTCCTCCGGGTCTGCTCAACCCGCATTTCCAGAGTCCTAGAGCACACCACACTGGAGTGCAACAGTGCGCCCTATGCTCCCAAGCACCCTGGAATCTCTGCATCTCTAACGTATAGTCCTTCCTTTGCTGCGTCCTAGGCACTGCCTCGGCCACACTCTCCAAGGATCCCCAGGCGATCCCCGACGCACCTCCCCCCACCTTGGCCCCCGGTCCCGCGCTTTGGCTCGCTCTCTGTAGGCAACAACGGTTCCTTCCTGCTTCTTCCATGTCCAGTTCCCCCTCCTTGCTTCTCTCTGGCAATACTTCGTCTTTCTTGCCAGCACGCCAGAGGCTGACTCACATCCACCCTTCTCCCTGTGCCCCCCTCACCTGCAAAGTGCAGCCTCTTTCGTTTACTCTTTGTACTCAAGTTCCTTCCCTATTTGCTGCACACAGACCCTATCCCCGCCACTTTTGGCGTTCCCCAAGGGCTTCCTGGCACCCTACAGCCGCTCTCTCCTGCGCCCAGGGCTACCAGGAATGCCTCCGGAACTCCATGCTCAGTGCCATTCGGCGCGCCCCCCACGCAAACGCGCCTGCCTCCCACTTGCGCACCTCTGTGGAGGAGAGGCCCCTGGTGCTTCTTCTAGTCTGGCTTTCCGGAGCTCAGCTCCACGACCCTTTTTAGCCCACGTAGGAACTTCCGGGCGAACCCCAACAGAAGGGGAACTAGCGTCCACGAGGTCCTCGCCTTACTGACTAGAGCAGCTGGCCCAGGGGTGATGGTGGGGTGAGGCTCAGGCCGGGACTATCCCGGGACAACCCTTCCACTGTGCTCCCTCCCCCCACTGGCCCACCTGGCTTGCGGCAGCGAGGAACTCCCCCGCCATGGACAGGGAGAGTCCAGGTGCAGCTGAGTGAAGATCACGAGAGCCCCCACCCCCTAAGTTTGCCCACATCTGCTATGGATGGTACCATGTTCGCTTCGTGAGTACCCACAGGGACCCCATTAGCCCCTCCCCAAAAGCCTTTTGTAGGCTGTGTCTGCCCCAACGCTTGAAGTACAAGCAAGCAGCTACTGAAGTTCTTACAGCCCAGGTTCAAATTCAGTTCCACCAAGTATGATCTGTGGCACATCACTGCGTCTCTCTGAACCTCAGTCTTTGTCTATAAATGGGAAGAATGATAGCCCCTATTTCTTGGTGGTGTTGTGAGCATTAATGAGATAATCATTGTAAAGTGCTTAGAACAGTGCCTGCCTACATTACTACATCATTATTTTATTTTATTGTAATTTAGATAAAGGTTTACAGAACTATTTCTCATTAAACAGTTAGCACACATATTGTTTTATGACATTAGTTAACAACCCCACGTCAACACTCTCCCTTCTCAACCTTGGGTTCCCCATTACCAGCTTTCCTGTCCGCTCCTGCCTTCCAGTCCTTGCCCCTGGGATGGTGTGCCCCTTTAGTCGTTTTGTTTTATGGGCCTGTCTAATCTTTGGCTGAAGGGTGAGTCTCGGGAGTAACTTCATTACTGAGCTAAAAGGGTGTCGGGGGACCATACTCTCAGGGTTATTTTATTTATTAATGTTTATTGTCTGTGTTCCCTCATTAGAATATAAGCTCTATGAGGGCAGGGCTATTTGTAAGTGTTGTTTCCTGTGTATCCTCAGCACCTAGAACAGAACCTGGCCCGTGGTAGATGCTCAATAAATATTATAAAATGAATGAATGAATGGTGTTAATAGATGACATCTGCGCTGCTGTTCCTCATACTGGAGTCCCAGAAGCCAAGGAGGCATCAGGTTCCTTAGCCAATTTCCTCCCTTTCTTCCTCTCGCCAGATACCCGGCTTCAGGTTTTGTTGTTGTTTCTGCAGAGAAGCTGGAGTGGACGATGCAGCCAACTTCTCAGGCAGCAGCGGACTCTCTGGCTGGCAATGGTGCCCACACTCCATCCTGGTTTATTAATCAGGCAGCCAATCCTGTCCCCCACCCCCACCAGTACCATTCAGAAAAATGCCTGCAAGCTTTTTTCCCACTGGTCTGCGACCAGCTAATACTCCAGCTGGTGGTTTAACAGGATGGATACTAATGATGCCACTTGGTGGGTCCTGGGGAATGAAGTTTGTACACATTTTGAATAGGAACCTTTTTCTTACTTCTTTATCCCCCAGTCCCTCCCCCTCCAAGCTTTTTTCAATAGTTTTATAGCCAGGGAATCAGTCTGGTATTAGAATACAGGCATTGGAGTCAGAACGTTAACTATGGGAAAGTTACTACCACCTTTATAAAGTCTTAGTTTCTTCATCTATCAAATGGAAATATAAAAAGTGTTTTAAGTTCAAGCAACCTGTTGTAAGGATGAAAAAAGATTAAGCACGTTAAGCCTCCAGCACTGTGCCAGTAAGAGCAATTAACTGTCGACAGATGGATAGATTTGGAGCCTGGAGACATCATATGTCACATATGAAAACAAACACAACATAAAATAAATGAAACCAATCCCCACTGCACTCCCTCAGGTACTGGAAGGGTTTTCCCATTGACAAAGTGCAGGTCTGGGCAGGGCAAGTTTGGCCATAAGGACCCCAAGGTCCAAAGGACAAAGAGAAAAAGGAAGAGTGTGTAGAAGGAAGGTGGCTGACAAACTGCTGCCAGGTGTGTTTGTCCTGGCGGTGTTTTGTGATGTTCAATCCTAATTCTGTATCACACTTATCTGTAATGTGTGGTAAGTTCAGGCACGACAACTAATTAATAGTCCTCAACTGGGGATGGTACAATTCTCCAAGGAGGCATTTGGAAATGTGGGGGAGCATCTCTGTTGGCCCCAGTGATTGGGAGTGCTACTGGAAGTTTGTAGGAGGGGCCAAGGGTACTAATGTCCTGCAGTGCTGGGACTGTCCTCCCGATGAAAAATGCTCCCATCTCAAATGCCTTACTGACTTAATGGAGCACAGTTCTACCATGACACACGTGGTCTCCATTAGTCAGAACTGCCTTCCATGGCAATTAACAACAAAGGGCAAATAGCATCCCAATTAAGAAACAGATGCAAATTGATATCAACATAGATGTATGGAAAATATTGACAAGGCTCAAAATAACTAGCTCCCAGGACTATAAAAAGAGCCTGCAATCTCAAAACAATCAATACCTTTATTTATTAAATCATGTCTGAAAAGACTCCTATAAAAATACAAAGTTGGAGTAGGGACTGGAGAATAATAGAACTGCTTTGCAAAGTACACATTTAAGAAGAGTGTTCAAGCGTAGGTGTTCTTTCCACCACCCCATGTGGACCCAGGGGAGTCTTAGGAGTTGTCAGGAAGCACATCACAGAGCAGATCCTGCACAATAGGACTTGCTGTATTGGAACACTGGTGTGTCAGGCACCACCAGTGGTGGGGACAGAGAAGTCTTTTGCTTCTCTGTGTATGTAAGTTGGTATGGTGAAAGTGAATTTAACCTGTACTCAATTTTAGGGACATATATCCCAAGAACTTCCCCTCAAACAGGGCCACCCACTGCAGTCCCATATTGCCCCTTCATGTGAATTGGAAAATGGCATCCTTCCACTATGCAGACAAAGACCTGCACCAGGGCACACAGCTTGATAAGAAAAGTGCAGGGTGGCTTTCAGGCCTCTCTCATCACGCCCCCCAACCATCCTGGGCTGTTGTTGTTGTTAGCTGCCGTGGAGTCGGCCCCCAACTCATGGTCACCCTATGCACAACTGAACATGGACTGTGTGGTCCATAGGGTTTTCATGGGCTGATTTTCAGAAGTAGATCACCAGGCTTTCCTTCCTAGTCAGTGTTAGTGTAGAAGCTCCACTGAAACCTGTTCAGCATCATAGCAACACACAAGCCTCCACTGATAGATGGGTGTCAGCTACATTTGAACTGCACTGGCCAGGAATCGAACCTGGGTCTCCCACATGGAAGGCGAGAACTCTACCACTGAACTACCACTGCCCTACATCCTAGGTTATCTTTGTTTATTCAGTCTGAAAGGCACCCAAAAATTTTCTAGTATGGCTCTTAATCCAGGCAAAAGAATGTTTTATTCATTCAACAAGTATTTTTTGAGCTCCGATTATGTGCCAGGTTCTGTTCCAGGTTTTGGTACACTCCTTTATCTCTATCGAAAGGTAAACAAGACAGGGAAGATCTCTGCCCTCCTGGATCTGGAATAAGAGAGGTTCCAGGCAAGCTGCAGGAGTGCTGACAAATTTAGGATGAGCTCCATTTGGTTTTGTAGCTAGAGGCAGGTCTATCCCTGAAGACTTGAGATGAATCCCTGCTGAGCCTCCATTCTTGATGACTTTCATGATACAGTCATTTGGACAGCTGAACCAACTACTCTGTGTTTGGATACAAAATAGCCAATGACTTTTGATTGGGTGTTTACAAGCCTTCTTTAATCACAACCTCTTCTCTGTCACACCTACAGAACCTATATAGAGACCAGCCACTCAGGTTCAAGTTATTTTCTGCTATTTGCTAGGTATGGGACTTCATGCAAGTGTCCCAACCTTTCTGAGGCCTGGTTTCTTCATCTGTAAAATGGGGGATGTGCCTACCCAAGTATTGTTCTTCAGATTAAATGATAAATGTTAAAAGTTCTCAGCTCACTGCCTAGCACACAGCCAAAACTTAGTTAAGTATTAATGCTGATGATGGTGATGATAAGATGTGTATGTTTT